ACGCGGATGAGAGCCTTCTCGGTAGCAGCTCCGACCCTGTGGAACGATCTCCCCAAGGAAATTCGTACCCTCACCACCCTCCAGACCTTCCGCACAGCCCTCAGAACTTGGCTATCCCGTCAGGCCTGGGGTTAAGACTACAACCCGCCCGAATAGTATGAATGCTGTGTTTTAATTATGTATTGTTTTATATGTTAAAAGTTTGTCTCCCCCCCCCCTTTTAAGTTGTGAGACGCCCTGAGTCCCCCCAGGGAAAAGGGCGGCATATAAATAAACTTTGAATCTAAAATCTAAAAAAAAATCTATCTCAACCTGCCCTCTACTTCTATGCCCAAGTTAACCATCACCTCGGGCCTAAATTATTAATGTCCTGCAAAGCTGCTAAAAATCTCCCTTGGTGTCTTTCTGGTCCACAGGATGAGTCGAAGCCACCATATTCCTACGCCCAGCTCATTGTTCAAGCTATCTCGTCAGCTCAGGACAAGCAACTAACACTAAGTGGCATCTATGCTCACATTACGAAGCATTATCCGTATTACAGGACAGCTGATAAAGGTTGGCAGGTAAGTTTTCAACCTTGAGCCTGGGGAGATTTGAACGGCTAAGTTACAGGCAGCCGGCAGGCAGCAGAAGTAGCCTGCAGTACTGCACTCTGGCCACTGCGCCACCACAGCTAAATCTTGGGCTAACCCGTTTTTTCCTCCCGCAGAATTCCATCCGGCACAACCTGTCCTTGAACCGATACTTTATTAAAGTCCCCCGTTCTCAGGAAGAGCCGGGAAAGGGCTCTTTTTGGCGGATAGACCCTCCTTCGGAAGGCAAGCTAGTGGAGCAGGCGTTCCGAAAACGGAGGCAAAGGGGGGTGTCCTGCTTCCGTACGCCGTTTGGACCTCTTTCTTCCCGGTAAGTCCAACGTAACAGCCAAAAATGATGCTCACCACTACTTAACTATAGAAAAATTGGCCAAGAGGATGATTTTTTTTAAAAAAATAAATAAATAAAAGGTTTTAAAAAAGTTAAAAATAAAAAAAAACTTAGACCAAACAATAGAAGCAATCATTAGTTCCGATTTTCGGTCCGAAGCCAAATTTGGAAGAAACCTCTCCAATATTGGAGGGAAGGGGAGCTTGCTATGTTTTGCTCAGTTGAGAAAGTGAGGTCAGTAAGTAGTAAGATGGGTTGTTAAGGACTAGCTACCCAGTTTAGTTTTCCCAGTTGCAATGGATGGCTGTGAAAGTTGGACCGTAAGGAAGGCCAAGCGCCAAAGAATAGAGGCCTTTAGACGATAGTGCTGGAGAAGAAGACTCCTGCATTGAGTCCCTTGGACTGCAAGNCCTATGAAGCGGTATATAAGTCTAACTGCTATTGCTATTGCTATCTTGTTGGGTTCACACAACACCCAAGGCCACAAACAGTAGCATGTAAAGCCAGCATAAGCCAAAACTTAAGAAGCTATGGGATAATGTGAACAGGTGAAGCCACTCAGTTCGAGATCTGTTGGGAACCAACAAACTGTTTTTGACCTATCTGAAAAGAATCTACTCAGTTGAACTGGTTAAACATTGTCCTGTAACGCCCCAGTCTTGGTTGAATCATTAACTTCTGGAGAACAATAAAGATAATTTAATCATCAACAGATCTAAACTCTGCTACAAATTTGTAAGGGTCATTATGCAACGGTGAGAGTTAACGTTTTGAAAATCCACAGATCGCAATTTATTATGGGCCACAAGGGATTATTTATCACACTACCACGTGTGAAAACGTGGTAGTTTGTTCAACAAACTGGGATATGAAGGAAGCCATAGTTTAGGACACAAACAAGGAAGACCGTACTGAGGTCATCCTAGAAACCAGCCTTGGCAGCTAATAGATATATTTGGCTTTTAATAAGTAAGCAGTTACATTTGGATCCAAAAGTCACACGGAAAAATTGACATTGTGGTATTAAGCAAGGTTGAAGGATGCAGGGAAGATAAACATGGGGAGACTTGAGTCAAACAGGGTGAATTACTTAAATCGGTTGATTTTAGGATGATTGTTTGGATGAGAAACGGTCTTCTGAATGGGATTTAGCTTTTAACATCAGGTGTATGTTTATTTTAACGTTTACTTTAATCCCCAACAATATTTTTTCTTCCTTTTTCTCACGATGGCAGGTTTTTTTTCCTCCTCTGTAAACGTTGCTATTGAAATTATTTTTATTTTAAAAAAGTTAAAAGATGCGATTCCCTCAGTGTGTTCTCAGAAGGGGCCATTGAGTTGTAATGTTTATTGTGAAAACACAAAATCCACCTTTGCAAGGTAGGATCGTCTGTTTACCGTCGGCGGTGAGTTAAACATCAACCTCAAGCGAAATTGTGCGTGGCTTCTGTTAACCTCTGCCAACTCTTTGGAAATGAGCCTCCAGTGTACTGGTAAAAGGCAAGATGCAGTTTCTCTGGTGCCCCCAAAACTACACAACCTTTTTTTAAAAAATAAAATAATTTTTTTTAGACAAACAAAACACGAACCAACATAAAACAATCTTCTAGTTACATACAGTGTGTCGGTTGATTACAAAAACCTTTGTGCATCTTCTTCATAGCAATAGCAATAGCAGTTAGACTTATATACCACCCATTGCTTCTTGTCTTGCCTTTAGATGCTTTGGAGAACAGCTTGACTCCGTCTTCTTTGGGGCAGCCCCTGAGATATCAGAACACTGCTATCATATCTCCTAGTCCTTCTTTTCATTAAACTAGACATACCCAGTTCCTGCAACCGTTCTTCGTATGTTTTAGCCTCCAGTCCCCTAATCCTCTTTGTTGCTCTTCTCTGCACTCTTTCTAGAGTCTCCACATCTTTTCTACATCGTAGCGACCAAAACTGGATGCAGGATTCCAAGTGTGGCCTTACCAAGGTCTTATAAAGTGGTATTAACACTTCACGGGATCTTTCTTAGAAGTTCTCTCATAAAATGGGAAGGAAATCAAAGAAGGGGGCTCTTCGCAGGCTTCTTATACTAGCTTTGAAGGAAGTGGACCTGAGGTCAAATCATTACAAAGGTCTCAGCTTTTAGCAGGTTCATCTTCAGTTTCTCTTTCAGGTTGGATTTGTTGTTCAGCCTCACGAAATCATGTGACGGTAATTCAGTATAAAAACAGAAGACCTCGCTAGAAATAATCGAGTTGTGTAAACTTCTGGAGAACCACAAGTTCCTTATCTGCAGTTTGCCAACCTAGCTTGCGGTTTTAATCTTGCTTTGGACCTCTTTGAGGGCAGAAAAAGTCGGTTAGCGATTTTTCGGCGAAGCTCTTAAAAGTTGCTCTCAATCTGCTTTTTTGTGGGCTCCAAAAGAGATCCTACTTCTCTCATTGGGGTTGAGGGCTGCAGGGTTGATGGCTTGTTTTATTTATTTTTGATTGCTCGTAGCTTCTTAAGGGGTTTTTAGCTGTTGGCCTTTTCTGCCCAAAGTCACAGGTTTGCGAGATGTACGGCGACATAAATATAATAAAATAAAGGCATTGGTTTTTTTTGGATTTGATTCATTTATTTAGCTGATAGATAGAAGTAATGTCTACTAGAGCAAATAAAATTACAATCACAAATCTCCTGGATTACCAAATTTTGTAAGAAAGCTGAGGCCTTCCTGTCTCTTGCGTAACAGGAGAAGGTAGAGGGAGATATTTCTCTCACTGGGCACCATGAGAATATATCGGCTGAACAAAACTCCACATTGGCAACAGGGCGAGCATCCGGCCAGTAAACCCTCTGCTAGCTCCATTCAAGGGATTATGGGATGATGATTAGCAGAGTTAACAAGCATAACAACTCTCCTTTTTTTCCTCCCCACAGTGTCCCTAATTCCTGCCCGGCTAGTCCTCGAGGTGCTGGTTCCTCAGGTTATCGCTTTACCCACAACGTTACCTCTGACCTCCAACTGGCTGCCGAATACGCAGCGAAAGCTACTTTGGAACAGCAGACGGAGGCCTCCGGCGGAGACAGCCCAAAGGTAGGGAGACCCCTTCCCCTATCAATTGTGCAAAAAGTGGCTCGGTGGTCGGGAGGGTAAGAGGTATGGATGACCAAGGCAGAGAGGTGGCCATCTGGAGAAAGCTTGGGTAGGTGGGATCTGGCCATCTTCTTGTTGTTCCCCAGTAGGATCTGTAGAAAAAATGAGGGAAGGAAGGGGGAGAGGACCAGCTGTCTTCTGCCGCGCGAGCGATTGTGGGTGCACCTCGCTTCACCCACATAACACCTATCCTCCG